GGCCCGGCCCCCTTCCCCCTGTGCCCTGTGGGAGACCTGGAGCACAGGAGAGGAAAACCTTCCCTTCGTCTCCCTCCAGAGCTGTTCTCCCCAAAGGGAGCGATGGAGAGGTTAGCTGATGGGCCACTGCTTGGTGGGCGGCGTTGTTATTGACCGCGGATTTTCTGCTGCAGCAGAACCAAGTTACTAGCGCTTCTCTTTTCTCAGTTTTACTCGTATTTGGCTATCTCTGTGTTATGCCACTTGGTCCTACAGTCTTGTTGCCTGCTTTGTTTCTTGATTATTTGTCTTCTGCTCCTTTCTTTGCCACTGATCCGTATTTGTGTTTGATAAGTTTCCAATTGTTTCTGTTGCGTGCTCTGCTTTAAGTAGGCTTATTTTGGCGCTGCCATTGTAGTGTCTTAGTATTCAGGCTATATGCTTTGCTCTTTTTCCTTCTGGCTGCTTTGGTACCATTTTCTCAGTATTCTGGTATTTTTGTTTGCTGGTGCTTCTGTTCTTATTGTGTGTTACAAACCTGTGCTCCTTTTCTGCTTGGAGTCTTGCGTGTTTCTATGGTTTCTAGACTTTCCTTAAAGATGCAATGTGCTTTTTGACCCTTCCAGAGGAAAGAAAAAAAAAAAATTACAATTACTTAGCAACTTCAAGAAGTACCTCTCTGTTCATAGACTTTGTTGATAGGCAAACATGCTTTTTGGGTCACCTGTCTGAAACGTGCTGTGCAGAGTTACCAGTTCTAGTCTCCCAGTGTCATTTCCATGTTTCCAAGAACAGCAGTGTTATAGAGCGAGGACAGAATTGGGGAAAGAGCTGTTACTCTGATTGCTTATTTATATGTCTAACATGCTCACATGGTATAAATGTTTTCAAAAAGCACTGGGGCAACACAAGAAAATAACTTCACTGAAATACACTTACAACCCTTGTTAAAATCAGTTTTTGTACATTGACCTGTATTATTTCCAATGTAGAAAAAGCCTTTGGAGGGGATAGAAAGTTTCAGGAATCACTTTCTGGACCACCCAGGGTTATTTCCCTTCGAAAGAATAGTCTTGTGTGCACCGTGTCTGATTCTCAGTCCCTTGGACATGAGAAAATCATTCTTAGGCTTGCAGGAACAAATGCCATCTTGTGTGCATGGTTGCTCTCCTTGAGCGAGCCTGTGATAACTCAACAGCAGCCCCAAAGGTTCTCCCTGACTCCCTAATAACGACCGTTGTTTCAAAGAGCGAATGCTTCCCATGAAGTTACGTAGCTGTGCTTCCTACCTACGCCCTCGCCAGAAAGAGGGGAGAGCGTTGGCGCAGAAGTGACGCGGTCTGTCTGCAAGGGCCAGTGCTATTGCTCCGGAGGAGCCTAATGGGCGTATTCGGTAATGAAAGTGTTGCTTTTCCATCTTGTTCTGGAAGTTCTACTAACGCCAACGAGCTCAGGAGTTCAGATGTTTTGTGGAGGGAAAGCAAGGGTTGATTTAACAAAATCTGTTGTCTAAATTTACTAATGACTGCCTTTCCCATGATTCTTCTTTCTTCTTTTGAGGTATTATCCTCTCATAGAGGTGCATTTTGAGAGGCTTTTGTTTGGGTTTTGAAGAGATTTGGTTATTTTTGTAAATACAACAAAGGATAGTTAATTGAAAATTGCAGATGCAATAACTTGCAGATCTGGTATTTTTAGCATGTCCTCAAATTTTCCATTTAAGAAAACCCTACCAAAACCCCATGATAGGTTTCTAATTTAAGTGAGGTCTCTTGCTCTGCTGCTATTCTCCTGCTGTGCTTAACAGTAATTGCTTGTTGAGAAGAGGCCTTTCTTTCTGTAGTGCTAATTCAGCACAGTGGGGGAAAGGTAGCCAAGGAGCTTATATATGTGTAGAAACTAAAAGACTGGAGATATAATGTGGTTAGGCGGAAAAGGATAAGAGAAGATGGAAAGTATCACAAAGGGAAAAGAAAAAGATGGCAGAAAAAGGAATGAGATGGAAACAATGAGGAATGATTTTGAGATTGTGCATTTCTTTTACAAATGAGATCTGTGGTTCATGAAAGAAGCATGTGGTAACTTACAGAAGGTGAGATCTGAGGCGCTGAAAAAGCATCCTGGATCAGATATGAACATTTCATGAGTATTGTTTAGACAATTTTACTGTCTTGGGTCCTCTAATAAAGAAAATTTCTTTATGCTTGCAGATTCCATTTTCTGTGTGATGCATTGTAGATTTTAATGTCCAAAATATGTCAGAAAATAAATGGCTATCTGAAAGTGTTGAGTCACCTGTACTAAAAAGGAAATTGGATTTTATACTCAAATTTGTAGTGAAGAAGCTTAAGCAATACTAAAAACTGAAGAATTTGTTCAAAATTTTGACTCCCTATTATTGTGAAAAGGATGTTTGGGATGTTGTACTTATTTACAATGGGGTAAGGATCTTTGATCATCTTCTTTAAAGTTTCATGATGATAAACATACATTTAGCAAATATTACCTTCAAATGATCATGCAAAGAAATCTCTAGACATTCTAAAACCCTACATGTAGTAAACATCTGCCAACCTGAATATGGATATTTGAAATTTATATTCAAAATGATTCCATAAATACCCATATCACTCTTAAATATCTCCTCTGATTTTCTTCCAATTATTGTAATGTATAACATACTACTGTATTGACGGTAATATTAATTCATTTTATTTGAGTCGAATGGGGTACTGCTCATCAATTTATAAATTTGGTTACTTAATTTTCTTTAAGTCACTGAGAAGTTATGTAAATTCCCAAAGGACCCTGAAGGGGAATTCAATATACAAATAATAATTAGAAACACAAAAAAAGCTGGCTGGAGTAAGCAAATGTAATTACAATAAATGTTTCAGTGATAGAGAAGCTAGTTATCCTTACTTATGTAGCTATTAAATTCATTGAAATCCTTGTCAAAAGTTTTAAAAAAAAAAAAAAGGTGTATGGAAATTGTCTGATCGTGTGGTGAAGAAATACAAGTGTCACTAATCTGTTCCTTACACGTGCAGATTTTGTAAAGCTGATAGAAGGAGAGACTTGGTACTTGTGTGTATATGTATATTTTACATATTTTAAACATTTGGAGAGCCTTTGTTAATTTTGCTCTTAAGATAATATTAAAATAAATTAGCAGTGGAATATGGTTTTGAACAAAGCTAGATAATAATGAGCAAAGCGCCGATCAGTTGTTACAACAAAGAAATAAACTTCTGTTGTGAGGTGTTTCTGAAGTTCTGTTACATGCGATTTTAATGTCCTGAGGATGTGTACAGATGAACTGCATTCAGTGTTATAGGAAAACATTAATCTTTGATAAAAACAGCAAGTATTCAGCTGGCCAACCACATGAAACTGGCTTGGGTTCTTGGGATTTTTCTACTTTCTCTATGCGGAGGTCACCTGCTCTGACAGAAGTGGCAGAAATCTTTTAATTCAGATTAATACATTTTTGAAAAATGTAGCAATAATGGATTTCATAGCCATCCTGTAGAAGGAGATAGAGAGAAAACAGTATCATGATTTGGAGTTCAACATATCGATTACTTGAAATTCACATTTCAGGACTGATATTATTTTACTGTTGACGATTTGACTAGCTGCAGGTAACTACAGCTGGGCAACACACTGAGCAACAGTGCCCTGAAATACCTGCAGGTATTTCTGGAAATACTGAAAAGCAGCAAATTTATGAATCCTCTTATTGTGGTTTCTGTGGTTTAAAAAAATAGAGTTTGACAGCTACAGAAGATGCTAAGTTGTGATTCATACGTGTTGATTTGCAATAGCAGCTAGAAAATGTACCTTGTCACCACGAATTTTAATTGACTGACAGAAGAGAATTTATTTGCCTAGATTAAGAATAGTTTAAGTGTCCAGGTCTTCACTTTTTCTGGGCTTCATTTTTCATGTAAAAGCCTTTTTCTATATTATATCTTGCAGATGTGATTCTAACTTCTTTAGGTTTATGTACAATAAACCTGTTTATTATCTTGATTCCAGGAAACTAGGTCACACAGCTGTTGCATATGGAAGATTTCCCAAGGTTACTGGTGATTAGAGAATGCAGAATTCTTCATATTACCATAAGAGAGTTTAATTTACCTGGAGAACGTTTTGTTGTTAATTAAAAATTTTTTATGGCTGTTTAGTTTCTGTTTCTTTCTGCTAATCTAATTTTTTTACCCGGCATCTTCCCAAATTGCTGCTATTTTTAATAGACTTCTCCTTAATGCTTTAACGGGTTTAGCCTCTGTTCATCTTTATCTGTTAAGACTTAGCTAGGGTGAATCTTAATAAAAATCTTACAACTACATTTTAATGATTTCTTTTTTCCTTATGATGAGTATCTTTTTACCCTTTACAGAATCCTGGTGAAATTCCATCAGACATCTTGTATTTCCTCATAAAACAATTTTCTATAGGGAAAACAATAAATTGCTTGTATTTCTTTTAATATTTATCCCTGTATTTAAAATCTAAAGATTTTGTAATCCCTAGTCCTAGCAATTCACCGATTTAATTTTTCACATTTGTGTAATTCTTGGAATTAGGTCTAACAATCAGGCAAGTTGGTTGTTCCACAGACTGTATAAAAAGCAGTTGTACAGTATCTTCAGATAATGTTTAGCTTCCTTGATTTGTACATGGCTCTTTTGCTTTCAATAGCCAAGTAATTAAAATCCCACTGTGAGGAGAAATCTGGCTTTTATCCAGAGCTTTTCTATCTCTGAAAACATTTTCTGATCTAGTTTCTATCATTGCCCTGGAGGACTATGGCAATATATGAAGTATATCACCTGATTTACTACTTCTTTTCTTCTTGACAACTAGCCAAATGGTCTGATCTGTAGAAGCACAAATATTGTATTGTGGTTTTTGGCAGTATAAATCTTTTCTAATATTGCTTTTCCCCTTTACCTTCCGTGTTATTCCTTTGGACAATTTTGCATTCAGATCTTTCAAATCACCAGTAGTCTTTACATTTCACTCATGTCCCTGTTACACCAATAATGACCTAGATGCAGGGTTGGGGTTGTGTTAGCTGGCTGAAAAGCAATTCAGGGGACATTTATCCGCACATAAATAACCCTAATTTTTTTTTCCTACAGTGTTTTATTCTGCTTTGAATCAGTGCACCTCTAAATTTGATTTTTAAGTTTATTATTTGCATTATTTGTTTTCAAGAATTTTATTGACATGGACTTAAATTTACATTTAGAAATGCCAGAATAGCAATTTAGATGTGTAACTACTGCTGCTTTGAGTATTTTTGGATATTTCACTCATACATAAGATTTAAACTTCCAGAATCAACCAAACACATTTCACAGCGCAGGCAAAGATAGCGCGAGGGCAATGTGTTTTAGTATATTTTAAACCTGCATATGTTCGTGAAGTGCTTTGTCACTTGAAACATTAGCCATCTGCCAGTAAGCTTCTCTTTGTAGGGAAGATTATTGCAAAGGTTGTAGTGAAGCAGCATTAGTGTCATTGTGTGACCTCAGATCTCCTTGATCTTTTTAAATCCGGTTTCAGAGTTAGTGTAGAGATTTCGCCGGACTCATTGGCGGATCTCCTCCTGGTAATGGTTAAAAGTCCTTGCAGATTCTTTTAAATCTGTCCAGGATTTTATGATAACAGTACAGGCTTTTTGAATTTGTCAGCAAACCCTTGCTGGAATTAGATTCTTGGTTTTACAGTTTCCGTTCTTTTCGGTTTCTGATGGTTATGCAGTTATCATCTACAGGAGGGACCTGTAATATAGTATTCGACAATATCTGTTTTTAAGCTCTCCCTCTTCAACACTGGTGTGCAGGTGGTCCTGATAAAGCCCATGAAGCAATCTGAGCCGTAGGATAGAAAAATGGAGAGGGCAGAAGGCTCTTGCCTCTGTTCTTTGCCTGTGCCCTGCCAGACTTGCTTTTCTTTCCTGGTCTGCTGCTGAGTTACTTATGACTAAACTGTTAAAAGTTCAATCTGTAGGTTGTTTCTTTTTTTTTATTAGCTTTTTTTTTTTAAATTGGATTACTTTTTCTTTGTTTTTCATTCTATGGGTCTGGCATAAGATTTATGAACATATGAGGGCAACATGGCTTTTTAAGTCATTTGTCCAGGACCTAATATTATGAGGGTTGCTACTAAAATCCTGCTGCTAACAGTGCCCAAGAATATCCTAATTCTGTCTGGAACTCACAGGGCAGTTGTGGCCTTTCCATCTTTTTCTTAGTTACAATAATCTAAGTACGCTCTGTGTGGGTTACTCACCTGTGTTTAATATCCATTTCCCCCTCTTTCTGATGCAGTTCACTGAGCTTTTGTGGATCTATAAAACTTGGAGTGTGTCTCCTTGAGGAAGCCCTCAGGATATTAATTTTTTTTTAATTTTATTTTATTTTTGGTGCTATTAATTTTTTTTTAAATTTTATTTTATTTTTGGTGCATGCTGGAAACATCAACATCTTTAGGCTGATTATCTCAGCCCTCACTCTTCAAGTCTTGGAGCTCAGTCAAGTTGACAGACTATGCTCAGTTCACTCAATCTTTCTGGCCCAGGTTTCCAACAAATCTAATCGATCAAGAACAAACTGTAGAATTTGAACCTTTTAGTAAATGTTTGGGGTTTTTTGTTATGCTTTAAAATGTAAATTAATCTATTTCCTATGCGCTTGTTTTCAGAAATGCCAACTCCTGACTTGCTGCCCATGATTACAGCGCTAGAACTGCAGTTAAACAAAGTTACAGTTTAACTCACCTGAATGTGAATCATGAATAATTAGAAAAGAAAGAAAATCAAAATGCCCCGAAAGTAACACATCTGTCAAAATTAACTGAAACTTATTTCCTGATGAATTGTACCTTGCTTGAAATGTGGAATGACATTGTTTATAACAAAAACATTTAATGAGTCAGTAAAACATAATGAGATGCTGTAAAGTACGTATTGAATGTGGTATTTGGTCTCAATTTTGGTATTCATCATAAGCTTTATACAATATAGGGGTTCAGTTCTAATACATCAACTGCTTTTAATCCAGCAGCAAAACTTTATAGATACCAAAACTATAGAAGTAAGGTCAAAAATCTGCTTCATTCCATCAGGGATAAGATTTCAATATTGACTGTTAATCCAAAGTGTCCCCTGTCTTTATTTGGTTTCATGCTCCGAGCCGTTGGCAGGCTGCTATACAACAGAGACATCTCCTCCGTCTTGGTCCTTTCTCTCACCATCAGGCATGTTTTGTGGTTTGCTGCTTTTTTTTTTGGTAAATTTGTTTTTCTTTCTTTCTGATTAAATATTTTTCAAATCCTAGAATAGTTTTTCATGCGTTTACTTATTTTCTTTGGTGCCTGAAATGTGGCTAGTGTCTCCTGGGTAGCAGCAGCAATGTGGCCTGTTTTTTGTCTTTTAGACTGGCACAACTGCAGTGGTTTACACTTTCTGTTAGAGTAGATTGGTAAAGCTGGCTTGACGGGTTTTGAGTGGAGGCTGGCCTGATTTGCTCCTAATTTCTCATTCCAGGTGATTAGTGTATTGTAATATTAAGAGCTGTTCTACAACGTAAGATATTCCGGGGAATTTTGAGCCTGAAAAGTGGTGGTCTGTACGAATGGATGAAATACTCATAAAAAAATATTAGAGTTGAATGGAAAGGACAGTTTGCTCTTTTATTTGGAGGGGTGCTAGAATTTAAGTATTCTTTTCTGACTTGCTTTCAGGTACAATAACCACGCCTCACATTGCTATGTATGTGATATATGTGTATGTGATTAAAAACTATAGTTAGTATACCGCAATTTGTTCAAATGTTATTATTTCCTACATCTGATGAAAACAACTCCCTTGCGAGGATATCCTTTTCTTTATGTCTCCTTTTGACATGGTGTTGCTTCCAGAAATCATTGTCTCTCCTGCTAATAAGAAGTACGTTCTTGTAAAAGTTAATCTTTCAAATTATTGACGCTCAGGTGAATTCATGTGCTGCTTTAGAGGTTGTTATTCTTAACAAATGCATTAACAGAAATGAAAAAAAGGTCAGTTTTGGCTTTTCTTTTTTTCCAGGCTAGTCTGTTCCTGCTCTTTAGAAAATGTCTTCTGCTTTTCTAGCCAGATACACTTCATAAAGTGGATAAGCACTCTCAGATTCAACAAATATTTTTGCACTTTACTGCCTTAATCATATGATAGTGTGATTCTACCTGAAACATCTTACATCATACCATGTTATGGGTAAAATCAGAGTTTAATATATATAGGAAGCCTGTATTTTTGTAATTTTCATAGAATAAAAAAATGGTATAGATATGTCAATGGCTTACTTTTAACTTGCTTTAGTTATTAAAATTGTATGCATACCAGAATGTTTACTTATCAAAACCATTTATTTCTTTTAGGGTTTTTAGGAACCTCTTGTGAAGAAAAAATAGACCCTTGTGCATCGTCTCCCTGCCAGAACAATGGAACCTGTTATGCAGACAGACTTGCCTTCTCCTGCAGTTGTAGTCCTGGATTTACAGGACCTACATGTGCTCAGCTGATTGACTTCTGCGCTCTGAATCCTTGTGCACATGGCATTTGTCGCAGTGTTGGAACCAGCTACAAATGCCTCTGTATCCCTGGTTTGTACCAGTTACATGTTTTGTGAATCTTCTAATGTTTTTATATGTAGATTCCAATATATAGTTTAAAATCACTTCCTCTTTTCTTTTCAGTATATAAAACATTGAGCAGATGTTCTATCTGTTTAGAATAATGATAGGAATCTACACATTACATTTGGAAAATCAAAAATTGCAGAGTGAGCACTGAAAATACCCACTGAGATCCATATGGCTTGGTTGATATCTACAGCTGTATTATAAACCGTAGTCTGCAGGATAAATCTTTTTAAGGTGAGGTATCAGTGTCATTGAAATTACAAAATTTGGTAGAGAGAATGCAAAATGTGACACTGATGATTTGGGAAGGAGTGGAAACGAACAAGGTAGCTGAACAAAGGTAGAGAAGGAAAAAAAATTGGTTACCCCAAAGGGTTTAGTTCTACTATCCATGTTTACATAAAGTATCTCTTTTCCGAAGTTCCAGTGATACTGCTTTAGGTGAGTATAGCTAGTAGACTCAGCTGGTAACTGTTTGATAATATAGCCTAACAGTGCAATGGTGTCTGGGTTGCATTTGCTTAGCTCTAGATTTTTTTGCATCCTTGTACCAATGTAACACAATATTGGAGTGCTTATGGCTCCCTTTATACGTTTTAGCAATCATAATTAATAGGTGAAGTAGCAGTTAAAATGACTGATACCACGTGCTGCACACCCACTACCAATAATCTTTGTTTTCATTTGAATAATTCTGGCACTTTTTTTTTTAAAAGTCTGTTCCTATAGAGCTATAAAGTGGAAAACTGCAGAAGTTAAGGGGGAAATAAATCCCCAGTGTACAAGGGATAAGCTAAGGAGTGTTATTGGGTAGTTAAGTAGCTCTGCATATACATAGTGCTGTGACATGCACGCTGTTCTCCAAAGTTCCTTTCAGAGGAATACCTTCTCTCTGCTGCATTGCCTTGCCTTGTGGGAACCCAGGCGCAATTCTTCAGCTCTCTTTCCTTCCTTCTGAGTTAGCAGGATGTGGAGGTGTCCTACCAATCCCAAAGGTTTTGCCTGAAGTAGGCAAGTACTCCTATGGGTGGTGAGTCTGAACGTTAGTATATGCCACATCCAGATGTTTTCTTTTTAGCCTGTGCATAGAAAGAAGTCAGCTTCTTTCTCTTCCAAAAAGAAGCTTCTCCTTTTTTTTTCCCAAGACAGAAGCCCACAATCCGTTCCTAGAACATTTCAGGTTAGGATAGCGAGGCTTAGGACAAAAAGAAAGTAAAGTAACTGTTTAATTTGACTTTCATGTATTATTGGCATTTTGAGGAAGAAAGATGTCACTGCTTGCTGCTTCTGCTTCTTATGGCTTTAGAGCAAGGTGAAACGTAGAGAACTCTCCTATTTTCCTTGTAGAGTGAGCTTTTATCTAAGATTCTGTAGCTCATAAAACTGCTATCTCATCTGAAGAGCGATCCCTGAAGACACAAGAATTACCAGCTAATGTCTTTGTCTTGGACGGTATATTGAGCGCACACTTCAAAGTGTTGCTTTCAGTAACTGATGCATGCGATCTTCAAGGAAATTCCAGATGTTGAGAGTGAAGTTTGAAACTGCTTCAGGATGAAAGCTTTCATCACTCTGTAGGAATAATGGATTGATTTTTGAAAATAAGCCACCACTCCTTAAATCAATAAATGTGGTAAGAACAGGTTTCAGCGTTATGAATACCTCAGCGTAAGGCATCGTGTTGTGTGGCAAGATTCTCACCGATGTATGCTATCCTGAGAGGGAGGCCACAACGTGGTTGTGTTGCTTCACAGTTTTATCGCTGAAATTTTCTTCTTGCAGTGTGTTTTGATTTTTTGGAATGAAGATACTTTTAGTAATAGGCTAGACAACTGGCTAGTGCAGTTACAAAGTTTGTGCATATATAATACAGTTGTCCTGATCCAGAGCATGATATAACAGCGAAATCTGTTTTGATTAAATTTTATAAAGCCTGTTGAAAAAAGGTAATTTTAGGAACTCGGCTCAATGAGCAGTCCTAACTTTTCTAGACTGTCTAGTTTTCTTACGTTGATTCCGATAGGTCTGAATTTAACTGGTATAGAAAACACTAACCTTCTGTGCATTTTGTGTTGAGTTGTTTCTCCACCAGAATGGATTAGTTTTATTTGTGGATATGGGGAGTTTGCAATGAAATCTACTAATGCAGCATTTTTAGAAGGTGTGAGGATTAATCACTGCTATTTAGAGACAAGGAAAGGACCATCAGAAGTTGGTTTTTGAAGAGGTACTCAGAAATGAACAGAAGCTGGTGGAAATTTGTAGTTTGGATTTGACTGATTTATAATCAAAGTACATACCTCTTTATTAAGGAGAAAAATACGAAAGTGAAATGCAGACAATACCATAGTAGTGTTATCTCATAATTCATTTGTCGTCCAGCAGATGTGAGTTTATACATGCAGGATTATAAGAATCTCATGTAAGAGCTTTAACCATTGAGATGTATTAACTTATTTAACAAAAAAATCCCAGAAGCCTCCGTTTTATGGACAGTTTTTCAGGAAGCATCCTCAATTCTTCTGCTTGCAACTTTTCAGAAACCAGAGGGTGGGTAGATTTTTGTGGCAAGAGAGGTCCAGATGTTTATGTGGCCTCAAATGTTTTCAGCTCAGATGTTTCTGTGAATGGTGTGGGCAGTTTTCATCTGAACAGAAGAATGGCGTTATGTAATGAAGAAGAGTATTTCCCAACATCTGGTTTGTTTTATATATCTCAGGAGGTGAAGATGATAATTCTTTCATTACAAATTTTCAGTCTTCCTTTTTGAAGTGTTTAATTGCTTTTCTGTTCATTTGCATAATAGAGGAATCCTTAGAGAAAAGAATTGGGTATTGAGATGAAGAGCAACAGGCCTAATCACATTTAAATAGAGCTAGCATATCCTCTCTTATCGAGAGCACAAACTACAATTCATATCAGTTGATAACTAGTTCCGTGTCTAACAAAAATATCTTTTTGATTGCAGGTAGTTGAAATTGCTAGGTGCTGTTTTCATAAATTCATTTTTAGAACTGAGAATTTAATAGTTTAATATTTAGCCCTTCATTTTGGATAGTATTCTCCTCACCCAGCCCCCAGAAGGACTAAATAGCAGAGGGAGTGCACAGGAAAAAAAGGTTTGAAGTTAAAAAAAAATAAATCTGGAAAAACAGGAAAAAAAGTGCTCAGCAAGTAGGAATATGAGAGTTACTTGGTAGCATCAACTATTCCTTGATTGGCTAGCGAGTGTTTTGTTAACTTGTTCGGATTCGTAACAGAAAACTGCTGTTTTTCTAGCTATTGAACGGTACAAGCAGTTAGGGCATGGTCAAGAAAAATCTCTGCAGAGGATGGAGAAGCTATTGAGATGAGGAGCTGCCTAACTCTGGGCAACAAGGAAAGTGATCAAAATGTATCAATATGTTTTGAGCTTTAAGTGGTTTTTAATGTATGACTGAAAAATGTAAAAAAACTTTCTTCTAAACTTCTGGTATAAAAAGGGATCTGATTTCCAAACTGGAGTATCGGGAGCTGTCCAGCATGAGTGACCTTTCCGGAGTCGTCCATGGTAGGAAAAACTAGGCATTTCTTCTTCCAGGGAAACGGGAGGAGTTTTAATCTTCTTCAGAACGTTCTTTGCCTGTGGTTCAAACAACAGAAAGCTAGTTAGATATTCTTGGACAGATAAAAGCTTTTTTTCTGCAATTTGTCACCTACACCTGATGAGAAGTTGTTGGTTAGGTTTGTTCAAATTAATTGTATGTCGCACAGGACTTAAAAGCAGTCTGACACGTCTCATGTTATGCAAAATTATTTTTATTTAAATAATATTTGTGCATTTAAAAGTTAGCCAGATGAGAAGCCATAGAGGCTGCGTTCAAGACCATATATGGTACTTCTTTAATTGAACTCTTTTGTGTTGCTCCATGTGTGAAATTTAATGGGAAGTATTTAAAAAAACAGTTTCTTTTTTCCAAAAATTTTGTAGACTGCTGTAAACTTCACTTTTAAAAATGACAACTTGTTTTAGAAGGACTTCCCTCTACAAATAATATTACTTGCTTCATATCAAGGTGGAACTAAAGGCCAAATTACGAGAGTTTGTCATTAATCTGTCAATAATTTAAAATCTTGGATAACTTATTTCAAAAGATCATTAAAGAACTGCACCTAAGTGGTAGCAAGGTAGGAATAGTCAGGATTGTTTGTTTTCTTCTGGTATGCCTTTTCATTGTTACGAAGGTACCATCATGGGGTTTTTAAATTTTTTTTTTTTTAATCTTACTAGTAGCATTTGAACCAATTGCCTTCAGAGATTTTTCCTCATGAGTTAAAGGCACTGTAGATAAAAGGGAGTCAACTTCTTTGTAGATCAGCATTTGGAAGGCATCATAATACACGCTTTGCCAGTGGTTTGAGTAATTACTGAGTGTAAGGCAGATGAGCAATTAAATTTGAGGATTCCTATGTACCAATTCCTAAAAAAACCCCCTAAAGTAGTGACTATAGAGCACGGCCTAACACATTTTTTGTATCTTCATCAAAAAGCAGTTTGATAGAGTGGATGAGTTACATCTCTGGTATATTAAAAAGCTGGATTCTATTTACAATTTTGCCTGCAGAGACTTTGACGGTCTCTGTCACAATTACTTGTAAAGTGGATGAATAAAATTTGTGTGCAGCTTAGTAGCATTATCAAGGGTTAATAATAAACATACTGAACTACATAAAGGTATTACCGTACATTAATAGGAAAGAAATGATCTCTGCCTCTTGGCCCTGAGGCTTTCTGGCTTGCAGGCTCTCAGTGTCAGTGTGCCAGCTCCTAGACTACTGACTTCTTTGTACAAGAGTCTTTCACTTTCAGGCATGTCCCTGAATTCATATACGTTATTTTTTTTTAGATATATTAATGGTAAGTTTATTAAATGACATTTTAGAGCACTCTTCTGTATTGGTTATATGGTATATCTGAAACA